AGCAAGACAAAAAGTGAAAAAAATCCCTATGGCCTCGCAAGTACCTAAAATGAGTGGGAAACCAAGAATGTTAGTGCCCCGACAGCATTCAAGTGTACAAACTTGCATAACACTCAAATGATACCTACACAGATGCCCCTCAAATTTATTTTTCGTTGCTTCTTTGAGCAACCGTCACGCTCACGGTGGGGTGTGTTGCCTGAAAAAAAGGCAACGGGTGTGTCACGGTCCTCGAGCCGTTGCTTCCATACAGGGTCGTACAGTAATGTAATATACATATTCTCAATGACCTTCGATGTTCAGGTCTAAGTACGACTGAAGACCCCATGGCGTTTATTCGATGGCGAGCAGGCGATGATGACCAGGTACGTACCCCCATCCACTAATTCCCAGCAGAGTTTCCAATCGGGCATCGGGCATCTCGGGCATCTCGTCCGCCCTCCCTCGAGTTCCCATCATATGCGTATGGTGGCCTGAAGTAAGATTAGCTTAATCAGCCGTAGTGTGGCTTGTTAAAGGATTCGTTCGAGCTGACGGTAATCAATGACCGGTTCGAGTATACTACTCACATTGGCGAGTCCCGCGTTGATTTCTTTGTCTTTCAGATTCAGTTCGACGTCAGCCTACCTGTGGCAACTGCATCACCGTGAGTCCTCACTCGGTTTCGTTCACGTTCCTGACCTGGATCCCCAACTTGCTAGTTCTGGAGCGTGCGCCGCAACTTCAACCCCATTCACAACGACATTCGAGCCGGCGCGGACCTATTCGCCCCAGGTACGCATTCAATTTCAATTTCATGCCATTCAGCTACGTACTTAGTGACCTTCATTTCGTTCACCCAGGCTTTTCGTTCAATACTCCGAGTCGGCGGCGCTACGGGTTGGTTCAAGCGCTAGCGGCTGATTAACCTATTGAGTGTTGGTGAGTTGCATTCAAATTATCGGCTAGTCTTTATCTTACTTACCCACTCCAGATCTCTATACGTGACTTTACTCGCGAGGGCGGAATCTACGCGCAAGTAAGCAAGCAGGAAATTTGAATTCAATCATCCACGACTTGACCTGGTCTTTTCCACACAGACGCAGACCGCACGACTTTCCTCCCATTCGCACAAGCCCTTGGAATCAACTTGAATGCAAATCCAATATCATCCGAGTCCGCGTTAACGATCCCACAGCTGCATGCAAACAATTATATTGCTTGTTGTAACGCTATTCGACTACAACAGACCGCGTGTGGCGAACGTCGGACCGGGAAGGCAGCGCGACGAGAACGAGTTGGCGCGATCTCCGCGCGCTTGCCGACAACGGTGGGCAAGCAGTACGGACTCGTGGTGCGCGCCGGGCGGAGTTGTCGTACGGGATGGATGGAGATGAGGGGCGCGCGGAGGAAAAATGTATAGGGAACGAAGACGAGGGGAAGGCGTGGGCAGGAAAGTGGAGAGGAGGATGTTATAATTAGCGGGATGGCAAGGCGGCGGAGAGCACGAGAGCGGGGCCGCTGGTCGGCCAAGGCTGCAGGAAGGCCAGCCGGCGGGCGCAACAACGGCGGGAACGGGGTCAGTACGCGCGAGCTGTTATTGCCTAGGGTACGCACCTGGGACCTCTTTTTCCGCATCCTATCGCTGACCATACGTTGTACGTGACTTTTCCAGGACGGCGGTAATTCCGGGTGCGGGCGGGGTGCGAAGAGGTATGAGCGGCGAGGGTAGGGACGGGTATTAACTGTGTGTCGTTCTTGGGCGTCGAAGCGGGCTTAGTTAGAGTCGAGGTACTGCGGGCGGGGACGAGCGCATTGAGAGCGACAAAGGGCAGCGGGACGGGGGGCTAGAGCGGAGCGAACTGGGGAAAAGCGGGTACGGGAGTCGAGTGGCTGCTGGCGCGGTTCGGCGACGGGGAAGAGAAAGACTTGAAGGAAGAGCAAGGAGAGGGTGGCTAAGAATGAGTCGGTGGATGCGCATAAGAGGGAGAGGATGAGTTCGGCCGATGGTCGCCGTCGCCGTCGGGATGACGATGCAGCGCTTACGTTTTTACGTCACTCTTCTTCCACGACCACCGCCTCTGCCGCCGCCTGCCGCCTCCGCCTGCAAGCCTCTCTTCGATGTGAACGCCACCTTCAAATTCCAGGCCCAGGCCGGCAGCCGCCCTCGCTGCTCACTCTCCCAACTGTGATCCCCATGCCTGTCTCTTGCGCGCCCTTTTTTTCTGTGTTCTTAGCCTCGCAGGGAGCAAGACCCCGTCGCATGTGGTATACATTCGCTTCCCTTAGACGGTCGAACAATATTAATGCGCGATTCCGGACGGCTCTTGGGCGTCGAACTGGATCCTTTTTTTTCCTTTCTTTTTTTGTTTTTTTTTTTTGGGGGGGGGGGGGGTGGGGGGCCACAGAGGTAGGTCTCGAAGTTCGGGTTGTATCTACCATGCGCGGCGTGACCCAAAACCAGTTACTTTCTTCCGCGCCGTTGGCACTGAGTCTCATCTTTCAATTGGGTTCATTTCTATTTCATAGCAGACCTCACTTCCGATGATCCCCGGAGAACAAGACTTCGTAGCATATGGTATGCGTCCGCTGCTCTTCGGCTATCGCCAGACGATTCAGCCGAACATCCCGGTTCGAATCCGGGCAGGGTCTTGAGGGTAAAGCTACACAGCTTTTTCTCTCGCAGAGTTAGGTCTCGCAATCCTCGGTGTTATATCAGGTGCAGGCGACAACTTTGCTTTTTTTCTTTGCCATGGCGTTGGAACTTGGCGGTGAGTCAAATTTCGATACACTACTACCCATACACTACTACTCATTCCTGCGCGCAACGTCAGGTTGCGTCAGGGGGAGACCTGCTATCATCTATGTATGTGCGCCCGAGTTGGAACACGGCTAGCAATCACTCAGCCGTCGGCGGCGCAGTACTTGCAAAGTTGCTTTAATCACAAGGCGCGTACGTACTTTTGGCGCAGCGCAGGCTTCGTTATTCGTAGCCCAGCGCAGGATGTAGGAACCAACACCCTGTGGCATTTGGAATGCCTCCGCTACCCTTGGGACTGCAGTGGAAAATCTTCAGCGGAAGAGCCCGGTTCGAATCCGGGGGGGGGTCTTGACGGGCAATACTATTTTTCCTTTTTTTCTTTTTTTGCCGCATGCAGAGCTACGTTCCAGCTCGCACGGACTTCTCAAATTAGAGCTATTGTCTTCCCGATATCGACTCTCTCGAGTTTCAATCCAGGTTCGCATCGCAGCGCACCTCACTGGCAATCAACTGATTGATTTTATCTTCGAGTCCAACTGTCCTCAGAGAATAGGATTCCGTAGCATGAACCCAAAATATCTCTCTCCTCGGCGTTTGAGTCCCAAATTTCGATCGTAGCACTGACGGAATTGAATTTATTCTACGTCATAGCAGACGCTCAAGTCCGACTATCCTCTCCATAGCATATGGTATGCGTCCGCTACCCTTGATCAGGGTGCTGCAGCCAAATGATTTAGCGGAAGAGCCCGGTTCGACTCCGGGCGGGGTCTTGGTGAGATACTATTCAAAATATTTATGATCATTTTTTTTCGCTTTTTTTTTTTGCTGCATGCAGAGCTACGTTCCAACTCACACGGACTTCTCAAGTTAAGTTAGAGCCGTTGTCCTCCCGAATATCAACTTTCAAGTTCCAATCCGTGTGGAGCAGGTTCGCATTGCAAGGCACCTCACTGGCAATCTGTCAGCGAGGACCCTGGGTCGGCCTGATGTTGGCTTCGGCAAACGTCCCGACTAGGACTTTAAATCCCGTGTCGATACCTCAACAGTTGTACAGTGTATAGATTCTACTACTGGTTATATAGTAACTAATAAATACCTGGTGATCATTGTTCCCTAGTAACTAACACTGCGCAGGGTTAATGCGACAGTTATTCGGCATAGAGGGGGTTTCGATGCCAATCGAAACCTCCTAGTTTGAATAACCCGATCGGGATTTGAAATCGTTGGTGCCGACCTTGCCGATTTGATCCGCGTTCGCCGTTCGTGGGTACCGAGTGGATCCGTGATGCTGAGAGCGGATCCGTGATGCCGAGTCGTGATCCGAGCGTGATCATGACACAATCGACTGATTGGTTCCATCTTCATGTCTAACTATCCTTAGGGAACAAGACCCGAAGCATATGGTATGCCTCCGCTACTCTTAATCGCTTGAGCAGAAGGATCGAGCGGAAGAGCCTGGTTCGATTCCGGGCAGGGTCCTACCTGTGTCCACTAACCGCACACTCTTTTTCTCCGCCACGGAGTTATATAGATCTCAAAGTTCTCGCTGTGGTATCACGCGCAGGGAACAAGATTTTTTTTCTTCTTGCACGGTAAATTCTAATCCATATGCAGTAGCACTGACTGGGTTTATCTTAATTTAGTGGCAGACTTCAAGCCCAGATATCCTCAGAGAACAGACTCCGTAGCATATGGTATGCTTCCGCCGCCCTTGATTGCTCAGGAATGTCGATTCAGCGGACGAGCCCGGTTCGAACCGGGCGGGGTCTTTCAAAGTCTTCGTGACCCGTTTTGCTGCATGCAGTACTTTCCAACCGCCACGGATTTCTCTCCTCAGAAAATAGTATGAGTCCGTAGCATACGGTATCGGTGAACCCAAAATATTTCTCTCCCCGGCCGCGGTGTTGGAACCTGCCGGTGAGTCCCAAATTTCAATCATGGTACTGACAGAATTTATTGTGGACCTCAAATCTAATCATCCTCAGAGAGACAGGACTCCGTAGCATATGGTCTGCATCCGCTCCCCTTGATTGCGTCAAGAAAATCGATTCAGCGGAAGAGCCTGGTTCGAATCCGGGCAGGGTCTTGGCGAGGTCTGATTTTTTTTTTTTGTTCTTCCACACAACTCGCGTTGAAACAAGCTACAGCCGCACTGTATGCGAAGAGCTCTGGCCACCTCTGAGCAGAACCAGGTCACGTATGCTGAAGTACTGAATTTATTCATCTCTCTCAAGTGCAGACTATTATCCTCAGAGAATAGGACTCCGTAGCATATGGTATGTGTCTGCTGCCCTTGATTGCTTGAAGAAGTTCGAGTCAGCGGAAGAGCCTGGTTCGAATCCGGGCGGGGTCTTATGTGAAGGCCGACATATTTTTTGTTCTTTCACACAACTTCAAGGTGTTGAAACAAAGCTGCAGCCGCACCGTATGCGAAGAGCTCTGGCCACCTCTGAGCAGAACCAACTCAAGTACACTGAATGTGACTGGGAGTTAGCGCGCTTATGCAGCCTTGTGGTAGCCCTCGTTGAGGGGAAGCCCCAAGGGGAGTCAAAGATTAGAAAAAAGGATATCACCTACAACTTTTTTTTTCAGGCATTTTGGCCTTACCCCCCCTCCCCCCTGTGGGAAAGTGGCTTATATTAGCACTAAAACATCCATTTTTGCAGATTTTTTGCGCTAGAGGTCTTCCTGGAGGTTGTCGGGATGTATCCCGAGGGGTAAACCATAAAAAAAGGGAGTTGTGGAAGGAAAAGACTTTGACCAAAGTCTAGACCATTTGGGTCATCACATGATAAATTACTGGATTTGGACGCATCAAATCTCTTATCAGGCCCGATATAGGAATAATGTTTTGACCTCAAACTCTGCGACGACTTACATTCAAGCTTCGGAATAGTGATATTCAGCTTCAGTGAGTAAAACTACATCAAGTCAGGACCTGATTCAGATTACCCCAGACTTGACCCCCCTTGGGAAGCCCGCCTAAGCGATAGCAATCCATCAAATCATAAATGTCCTTTCAATACGCTTCAAACCCCGTAGCATATGGTATGTGTCCGTTGCACTCGACTGCTTCAAGAAACTCGATTCAGCGGAAGAGCCTGGTTCGACTCCGGGCGGGGTCTTACACTTGTCCAACTCTACCCCAACTTTTTTTGGCCACAGACTTAGGTCTCAAAGTTCTCGGTGTTGTATCATGTGCAGTCGACAAGATTGCTTTTGCCACGGTGTCGGAACTTGGCGGTGAGTCAAATTTCAACACACATGCATTGAGTAGACTGACTGGATTTATGACATTTTGCTAATTCCTTCTAAAGAGTGTGTAAGTTTGCCCCTACCTTCCTAAATGATATTTTGCACAATGTATTATTGAAATAAAGGTAGCTACGGCCTTTACTCGAGAATAGCAGACGACCCTGGCAAACATGTAGGGGATCTATTTGAGAACTACTAGGTAATATACAAACGTCGTCAGGAACCAATATAACTAACTAGAGAGATAATTAGAACAACTGAAGTATAAGTAAGGTACCAGGAACAAAATATGAAGCTGAACATGATAAACCCATGAACTCAACATAGCAGATAATGTGTTGCCTGGATGTGGTGTCGGGGATAACAAGCAATGGACGAATTGGCTTTTTTTCTTTTTGGAATGCTCAGCACGTGATTAACTCCTTATGGGGATGTAATGCTGACGTGGGTGTGCTTACGAGGTAGGGTAAGTAGTTCAGCGTACTTACCTTAACTTGAAAATGTGAGTCCGGTTCCTCTTTTCACAGAACTTTACCCCCTTGTGCACGGTCTTGTACATATAGCGATGTTACAGGTCTATCATGATGGAATTATTACGGCCTCTTCTATTCTGACCTGAGCAGAAGTTGGAGCTACCCACTGGCAACCGACCAATGCCCGAACACGTTATTTCTGCCCCAACCAAGGAAGTGATCGAGAAATCAGCATCCGGTAAGTCCTAAACAGGGTGCCAAAAAAAGTTATCGCCTATCTACAACGTACGTTGACTCGGAGGATGAATTAGCGCCGAAATAAGCGCCCAGAAAACATACATAATGAGGTAGGTCTACATTTTTCTCGTGTCCCCTTCTTGTTTCACTTGTCTCTAATGCTCGGAGAGACTTCGGAGCATTCCGTCCCTTTTCTAGGCTATCCAGGCTCAGTTTCGGAACCAACTCTCAACGACTATGAAAAGCCTTTCCATGCCCAAGCTCCGCGTCCCCGAGGAAGGCGAGTTTGAGTCTTACTCATCAACCTCCTTCCATCTAACGGACAGAAATGGCGGAAGATTCAACCTCCGAGCATTCCTCTGGAAGCTCACAGGCTGGCCCGGCATCGTCATCGCTGGCCAAATCTTATTACAACTGGCAATGTGGAGCTTCTTCGCCATTGTACGGACGAAAGGACCCATTCTTTTGCGGCTGGAGGCGGTCGCGTGGGTTCAGAAACACCCTCACACAGCGACCTTTTGCTTCACGCAAATATCCACTATTTTGGCCGCTACATCGTCATTGTGAGTTTACTAAAGAACAGTCAATATTGTAGACTGATATCCGCCGAGGTTATTTTCATTCGGCATTCGGCATTCGATCGCCCTCCACATGCATGGAGACGGGATGTCTCTGGGAAGTTTTCTTTCAACCATCAAAATCGCATCCAGGGGTTTGATTCTGGATCCGCGAAAGCGGAGGTGGAGCACGATGTCTATTGTGATCTTCTTGCTCACCGGTGTGCAAACCTCGGGGTTCGACATGCTTCAGTCTGGGTGCGGCACGCTGCTAATATGAACATCCTTAGCTGGGCTTCGTTGCTCACTCCTCAAGCGATCCTAGTTGACACCCCATTGACTGGCCACGAGCTGGACCTCACCAATCCACAACTCGGGAAAATGGATATCGATACCCTCAGACCTTGTGTAGTTGACAGCAGTGGGCAGTTTATCGTAACGATTCCACCCCGACTCACATCACCCGCAGCTCTCCTTCGTTCATTTGCTGTCGGGCGAACAGAAAGCGGATATGCGAGGGCCAATGAAGATTTCAATCACTCCTCGACGACTTATAGCCTGATGGACCAACTGTTTTATGGTTCGAGTGGTACGGAACCATATTCAACCAGACGAACTGCACTCAAGTTTCTTCAGCGGGCATCCTACCAACGGGCCTAGGTGATCTCAACTCTAGTACCTGGTTTCCCGATATTCCAATCATCCCCTCAACCATAAATGTGACTGGGAGCATCCCGGATGGTCTTTCCTACAACTACACACTGCATCGGCAAGGTGAGGTTGAAATCAATACCCAAATTCACAATAATAAATCCTGCTTAAACTCAGGGTTTACCGCCAACGTTAGCTGTCAGCCCGAACAACTAAATGCCAACACTACGCCTTCAATGTATCTACAGAGCGACACAGTCAGAGAATGGAACAGTGGGTATAACTTGGGCAACGTAACCTGGACTCGGTTGACTTTAACCTGTGAGACAGATCGTAGGTTGTCTGCGTTCGTGTTCACGTTTATGGGTGAAACTATTTTGCAGCCTATGATCTACATAATGCTAGTGTTGCATATACCGCCCCCCCCGGCTCCCAAAACTACATGTTAATGGTTGCCTGCACATCGGGAGACAGTTACAGTACGTGGTCGCAACACGGCACGAGCTTCGGGTTCAAGATGCTTATGTTTGGTAGAACTCATTTTCCAATCCGCCGGAATGTACGCCACAATGTCCGCGGTGTGCACCATCACTCCACTGGTCGTAAATGTCACCGCATACTCGGATGGGACGATGGTCAGTGTCAGCCCAAATTATGAGGAAGCCATCCTAGAGGGAGGAGGGCCCGCTGGAATTTCCGCTGTGACGATGATATACAATATGATGGGCTTGTCGCAAACGTCCGTGACCAACATTGTGGGTGATGAGCTCAGCACTTTGGTTCATCAATGGACAGGGAATTACGCCGACGCTGATATCGCGCTGGCGTTCATGGTGGGTATTCGGTATTGCGATAAGTTCTTGCGCTCATGATTTGCAGGAAATATGCCTTACCGGAGTTGCAGAATACAGCGGATCCGTAAGAGGTCGCAAAATATGCACATTATCCCATTGATCTTCAAGGATAGGTTTTCCGCGCCTGTGTCTCCGGAAGGAACTCCACCTTCCCAGACGGACCGCCTTTGGACCTAACCACTCCCGTTCACGGAACGTTGTCTGCCCAGACGATGGGCTGGAATCATGGAAACGTACTCACCTTGTTGGGCCTGGTTCCGGGTACCATCGTGGCGCTCCTCACAATTTACATCGTGGTCATGGCCGTTGCCCACCATGCCGAAGATCCCAAACGCCAGCCCTTTAATCCCGCCGATGCGAAGCACCTACTGGCCGCCTCGGCCGCCGGTGGGTTGATCAACCTATTCAAAGGGACTGAGAAGAGGGATATTCAGGTGGCGGAGCGGGCCAATATATTCCTGGAGGCCCTGCCTGGTCAACGACCGGCACTTCGGACGGCGGCAGCAGTTTAAATGGCTTGTAGCGGAATCGGCCATATTTACTTCGTCCTTATTCAAATCGTAGTTAAGATAGCATAGACTGCCGTTAATTCACCCTTCAAACTCGAACAACGAGTCTGGGAGTGCATCAGGAAAATCCGGAATCGTTTTATAGCCCAACGAAGACCATGAGAGACATAGGAGACATCATAGCAAGGGGTCCTCTATATGCAAGGGTGGGCGGGGCGGTTTTTGTTTCATAGACACCCTAGAACCCACCAGGTCTATGTTGTGTAGATACATAGTCGGCATAGACTTGGTAGCATGTTGTGTGTCTTGTATAATCTCGCAAATCAGGACAGTGTTGATTTCCTTGAGGATTATCGGGCTTTGAGAATTCGAGGTTTGAGGCTTTGAGCTTCTTGCGGACGGTCCTCGAGAATCTTGAGGTTTGAGGCTTTGAATTTCTTGCAGTCCCATTTGTGTGGGACTTGGAAGTTTTGAGGTATTGTGCCAGTGAGAGAAACAGCACAATTTTGAAATCGATGGGCGGCGTGGATCCTGAGCCAACTTGGTGATGATTTGAGGGAACTGTGACTTTGGGGAGCCCCGGAATGGTCTTTAGCAATTTTATCCTCAAGTCTCAGAATAGGACTCCGTGGCATGAACCCAAAATATTTCCCTCCCCGGCGTTGAGTCCCAAATTCCAATCATAGCACCGACGGATTTCACTGCAGATCTCACCTCCAATTATCCCAGAGAACAAACTAGCATATGGTATGCCTCCACAAACCTTCGCTTGTAAGAGGAGTCCAGCGGGTAAACCCGGTTCGAATCCGGGCGGGGT